ATGGAAAATAATGACTTTAAAGCTTATATTTTCATTGAACAATCATCAAAACAGACGCCAAGACATCTCCTCGAGTTGCTACTGATCTAGCCTTTCCCATTTCGGTTATCTCTAATATAATATTAGCAATATAAGAATTCCTGTGATTTCAAAGTATTTTAGTATCACTCCTTACATCATTACTTACGTTCATTTTATGCACTAAGAGTGGCATATAGTCAACTTGTCAGGTCTCACTCTATAAGGAAATAGTTTGCTAAATAGGATGTCTGTCATAAGACCAACAAACAAACATTGAAGATCATACTCATATATGTACAATTACAGACGTATGAATGATTAGTTTGGAAGTTTCCACTGTGTTTAATGTTAGAATGATAATGATTGTAGTTTACGTGTCCAGCATGAGATACATCATGTGAATAGAATGGGTTGAGGTTGACCTGTCATGATAGGTCACTTTGAGGGGCACCGGACATCAGTGTGTCTTGGGGCGCTGTCTATTACTGGCGAGTGTGATTGGTGTCTCCGCGTCGTATGTACAACAGACTCTACATATTCGAGTCACTTCGAGTCCATCTCTTACTGTAATTATAGCTTGTCTCGTAAATAGAAGCTGCAGCGAACATTTCATTGACTGCACAGCTTATTTAAAGATCTGTGATAACGCATCTTGTACTTATGGGAAGCGGGACTCACCAGCAGTAATAGTGTTTGACAGAACCATCATTCAGAAGAAATTCAAAGCTTCCTGGTATATGGAGACAGCAGTATACAATGACCGTGTATAATCTGTTATTGCGTGGGACACAGCTTTGAAATTTTATACACGTTTTCTGATCACGATGGTTATTTTATAGTTCATTTCACATTTTTAAAAATTATGCCACCCTCCTTAAACTGAAATGCACTGATGAAACTATTCGCTCCCATCGATTCCGGGAATGCCAACTTCCTTCATCTTGTAATTATAATGATTTATTGATGTTTAATTGCACACATCTATCAGAACAACAGAACAATGCATAAATTAAGTGAAGTAAGAGCAAATGTCTCCCAGGATGAGTTATTTATATAAAAAAAATACAGCTGGCAATTGGAAACGGATAAAATCAGTATACTTAAAGTTACTAAAATGGTTACAATTAATTACCCTTCTTTCAGTTCAGGGACATCATGGCAACAAAAAAACAACCCAAGTAGAATGATATACCACTATGAAAGGTCATTCCTACACAACAGATAACTGAGAACCTTTCCTACTTGTACCTAAAAGATAATGTTTTCATATGTTTTCCGCATTTTCAAAATACTCACTTGGGGGGGACTATCCTGACAGACCTATATTGACCGAAAAATCACAATGCATAATTCAGCTGATCCTTAGCCCATTTTCAATCCTCAAATATATTTTCTTGATAATTCCTTCTGTAAAATGTACGCAAGTCTTTAGATAACTTTAAAATCAATCTTCAGTACTACTAGTGTTACTCCAACACTAAATTAAAAATGGATAAACACACCTAATCCTTATATGTCTTTTTTATTATGAATATATAAAACTCTTATCAACCTATTCATCTGGGAATAAATGCTCATGAATACTACTTATGACCCTATGATTATAATACTCATTTCCCTTCTACACTTCCAATCTTCAAATTCTGAAAATAAAATGTCAGTGAGAGTGTTTTCAAATATTTTATTGTAAAAAGGATACAACTAAATGATAAGTATTATTACCTGATAACTTTTGAAGCAATAAAGCAAGTTATCAAATAAATCAAATATTCTCTCCATGTGACCATTCAATCTCATTTTCTATAAAAGCTCAATTTATAAAAATAATAACAAGGAACAAGCATATGATTCACTTTGTTTGTTTACTAGTTAAAATGATTTCCAGAGATTTTTTAATGAAACTGTTTACCACATAATCAATTCACTTCATCTAATGGTTTCAAAAACCTCTGTTCGTCTGTATTCTTTACGGACTGATGGTGCACACAATAATAATAATGATGATGACAATTATAAAATAATAATAATAATATAACATATTTCCAAATTCTTAAATCATCTCCGTATGTCTTGTAGCAACATAAATATTTTCTCATCTTCTTTATAAGGATAACCTGCAATAAGAACATACTTTTGGGGGAATCGTGTTACAGAATGTATTAAATTCCCAGCTGAATTTATCTTTTCATGGCTATGCCATCAGGCTTTCAATATATATATATACATATATACACACACACACGTCCATACACACACAACTGAATGTCTAGTTTAAGTATACAAAATCAAATTAACTTTGGGCCAAAGAGCCTTTCCCTACTCTAATAAAGACAACAATCTTGGCCACAGGTCAGACAAAACACAGTTAGCTGGTAGGTTTAAGATCTGACGTTGGAATCACAAACCTTAAATAAACACTGGTGAAGTTGTCTATAATCCATTGTTTTTTAAACGAGCTCCAGATGCACTTCAGAGGTTTGTGACGACTGGACGATTCCAAATGTGTCCGTAGTTGTATTTCAATTAACTGTCACCACGAACCTGTTAATTTTCAAATAATTGTCATTACCAATTAGTCACTTACCATCAGTAATCAACAAACCAATCAAGTGCATTCATGACACAATAAGAGAGCCATATAGCGTACAACTGAAATTCCTCCACATCATTCCTCCAAGACATTCTGACAGGAATAAACATATAACTGCATGTGTGATACAGTGGTGTGCATAGTGTGGTGCAGGTATGGTATGGTGTCATGTGTGTAGTACAGTGTGGTGTGGGTTCAT